AACTCTCATTCAGTCGGCTAGTAGATTCTTGTTCATGAACGAGATGCCTCATTTGTTCAGTTCATTCACAAATTAGAGCTATAAAGGGCATATCTGCATTTGTTCAGTAGGTCCAACCAATGAAATCCTCCTTAACAATGTACAGCTTTGTCAAAAGTGCTATTATCATTTATTCAGGCATTTTTCTGGATTTTTTACGGTCACCCAATGGCTTGTTTATGGAGTCCTGTATGGAATTAAGTTTATATTAAGAGCTATCAGGCTTTGTTATGGCACTTGGCTTCTTGACTTGTACAGGTATGTGTCAGCACTTCTCATCCCTGTGCATTGTTTCACAATAGTTTCTCATGCCTCTCTTGGACATTTGCGCCATTTGTTCTTTTTCCCACGATACGGTAGCACTTGCTCTGGCCTCGTCAGACCTGGCTTATCTGAACAATGCTTCAAATAACTATGGGGACTCAAAGCTGTACGTTCCGGCCAGGAGGGCTACATACGTTTATGAGTGTGAGGAAAGAGCTGAAGCTTTTTTGTGAGAGATCAAGCTTGGAGATCAAGATGCCAAAAATAGTTGTCCCAAACAATTGGAGAGGAGAGCTCTCGACAGAGATAGGGCTTTGACAGGCGAGGAATCCTGCTTGAGAAGCGTCAGGTGACAGCTGCAGTGTTGTTGTGGCACTGTGTTGCTCAGCCTTTCACTGCATCAGAAATAATACCATCTCACCACTCTGTTCAACCTACTCTCACTTCATTCAGCTTGGCCAGCTCATTTCCTAAAGAGGTTTCACTGGCATATTCTAAAATTAGAATTCTAATTGTATTCGCTTACAAAAATTCTATCTATCTATCTATCTATCTATCTATCTATCTTCTCTTTATTTCAATGAACAAAAACAGTTTTAATAGTATATTATATAACAATATATAATAAAAACTGCTCAACCAAACTTTGTTTATTTATATGATAGAAAATTTTTAAATAATGATTAACTTGTAAATATTTTAAATATGTATAATTGTACATATTTTTATATTTAAGTATTTTAAATTATATATTAAATATTTTATATTTTAGTGTTCTGTCTATTTCAGATTTGTTACAAATTTATACATATTTAACATGATAATGTCTATTCATAGAATAGACAATTTGAATCAAAATGATTTTTTTTCCTAATGATTTTCTAAAGATTTCATGTTCTGCATTTTATACTAATCTAGAATCTTTTTTTTCACACTATATGCGGTGACACAGTTATGCAACAGCTGCTTGATCTATTAAACTGAACTTGTGTTCAGCTTTTGTGAAGTGAAGGTGGAGACTCATTACAGTATGAATCAGTATGTATGTAGTTATTCATAAACAGGGCAGCCATGAACTGGGCTTGAACTGACTTGATTAGTTAAACCAGATTCTATATAAAGTCCAAATCATTCTAAAAGGCCACAAAACAAAAGTCCCTCACTCATTCGTTTGGAAATTACCAGAAAAATCCGACTTGCTGAAACATATTTCTGCAAAACCAGTCTAAACTTCCTTTCTCAGATCCCAACCCTCATCCCTCTGATGTCCCAAAACCTTGATACGACTTCCCACAGATAATGAGGTCACTGCCTAAAATCAAAATACACCCACCGGCACCCATATTGGGCTCTAGAACCAAAACGCCTTAATGGGAATATGAGCTTAGAAAATAAACCAGAAAAAAGGCAGAATACGCTAAAGAATACACTTTCCTCTGATCCTAAATCAGTTATGATATAGCTGAGATGGGATCAGAAGTGACCTCTGGCCAGAGCTAGAATGAGGTGGCAAAATCCCAGCACTCCTTTTTTGGCAGGACTCCTCCCTCAGGATTCAACGGGACTGATGTGAGTCATCCGGCAGACATGCCTCGTCTCTTCATGACGCTGCACACACACACACACACACACACACACACACACACACACACACCCTGCAGTAACCATAAAACAGCCCACTGAGGAGTGGAAATGAAAGGAAAGGGTAAGATGGCTCATCAAAGTATGTTTGATAGGATTTATGATACTCTCAGTTCATTACACCAGTCTGGATTTTGGCACTGTTGTTTTCAAAGACCAAATGTAGGGAAGAAAATTACTTCATTTTACTTCAAAATTACTTCATTACTCCCACTTCATATTACTTCATTAATATGTTACTCAACTCTGTGTTTGAGAAATAGTTGTAAAAGCTCATAATGTATCATGCCCATAAATCCTCTCCATACACATGTAAGCTCATATTATACATCTTTATAACCATCATAATATGAAGCAATACTTACTGTACACCCACATACTGTACATGAGACGTGAATAAAAGCAAAACTAAAATCTTCTGAGAAAGTGAGCCGTTATTGAAATCAGGTCATGACACGGTCTCTATCTATCTATCTATCTATCTATCTATCTATCTATCTATCCAATCTATCATCTATCCAATCCATCCATCCATCCATCCATCCATCCATCCAATCTATCATCCATCCATCCATCCATCCATCCATCCATCCATCCATCCATCCATCCATCCATCCATCCATCCATCCATCCATCCATCCATCCAATCTATCATCTATCCAATCCATCCATCCATCCAATCTATCATGTACCCAATCCATCCATCCAATCCATCCATCCAATCTATAATCTATCCAATCCATCCATCCATCCAATATATCATCTATCCATTCTATCATCTATCCAATCCATCCATCCATCCAATATATCATCTATCCATTCTATCATCTATCCAATCCATCCATCCATCCATCCAATCTCTCATCTATCCAAGCCATACATCCATCCATCCAATCTCTCATCTATCCAATCCATACATCCAATCTATCCATCCATCCAATATATCATCTATCCATTCTATCATCTATCCAATCCATCCAACCATCCAATCTATAATCTATCCAATCCATCCATCCATCCAATCTATCATCTATCCAATCCATCCATCCAATCTATCATCTATCCAATCCATCCATCCAATCTATCATCTATCCAATCCATCCATCCAATCCATCCATCCAATCTATAATCTATCCAATCCATCCATCCATCCAATATATCATCTATCCATTCTATCATCTATCCAATCCATCCATCCATCCAATCTATAATCTATCCAATCCATCCATCCATCCAATCTCTCATCTATCCAATCCATCCATCCATCCAATCTATCATCTATCCCAATCTATCCTATCATCTATCCAATCCATCCATCCATCCAATCTATAATCTATCCAATCCATCCATCCATCCAATCTATCATCTATCCAATCCATCCATCCATCCAATCTATCATGTACCCAATCCATCCATCCAATCCATCCATCCAATCTATAATCTATCCAATCCATCCATCCATCCAATATATCATCTATCCATTCTATCATCTATCCAATCCATCCATCCATCCAATCTATCATCTATCCATTCTATCATCTATCCAATCCATCCATCCATCCAATATATCATAATCTATAATCCCATCCATCCATCCATCCAATCTATCATCTATCCAATCCATCCATCCAATCCATCCATCCAATCTATAATCTATCCAATCCATCCATCCATCCAATCTCTCATCTATCCAATCCATCCATCCATCCAATCTATCATCTATCCAATCCATACATCCAATCCATCCATCCAATCTACCATCTATCCAATCCATACATCCAATCCATCCATCCAATCTACCATCTATCCAATCCATCCATCCAATCTACCATCTATCCAATCATCCATCCATCCATCCATCCATCCAATCTATCATCTATCCAATCCATCCATCCATCCATCCAATTCTGATATGTATATTCTGTATATTCAAAATATGGCATTAAAAATGTAATATTATATATATTCATTAAATATTTGTATTAATGAAATTAATGAAATTTATGTATAATTGTACACATTCATTCTGAATTCCCAACTACTTAAGTGGTCAGATTAAAAATAAAAAGACCCTTTCTTGTCTTTGTCTGTCTGTCACATTTGTTATATATTTATATTTACATATTTCATATGATGATGTCTATTTTATAGTCTGTCTTTTTTTTTAAATGCTATTTTACTCTTTAATATATACTTTACAAATACCATGTAGTAAAAAAGTACTGATTTTATTAAAATCACTTTTTAATTTAATTTAATTGATTTATAATATTTCCACAATATTTTTATATCACAATTTGGTTGTGCACTTTCCTTAAACAACTGACTATACCATTATAATTTAAAATTAATAGGGCACTTCAGCATTTAAATGTTTACAAAAGTGTTATAATAATATTTTGTGGCTTTTGTCAGAACATCCTCAGTTATTTCTGAAAGAAAACCAGCCGTTTCTTGAAGGAGTGGAAAGTCCCTTGTAGCAGAAGTGACTTTGTGAACTTATTTACAATGCTTTATTTTATTTTTTATTTTTTTATATTTATTTTATTAAAAATAATTCATTCAAAAATAATTTGAATAAAATAGTAATAAATATATTATAATAAAATAATACAAATATTTCACAATATTTTCATGTCACATTGTGGTTGTGCACAAGTGTTGTCTTTATTAGTATATTGTAGTCATTAAACAATAGTTACACCATCACAATTTTAAAATAAGTAATTAAGTAAACGGACCAACTTCATGAGCCTCATCCTGGGACTGAAGTTCATGTGTATGACACTTGTTTGCGTTTTAATAAAATAAAATAAATGTATGATATATTTAAACATGTGTGTGTAATTATATTAATTAATTGTAAATGATTATTTATTGTATTTAAAAACATGCAAACGCACGAATATGTTATTATGTTTTATGATACTGTATTAGCCTGGATCGATTCGGATTCTACATAAATCATTTGAGTTGTATGAGAATCTAAGTTCGGACATGTTAGAGATATAAAGTTTTCTGTAGTGCCGGAATGCCGCCCACTCGCTTCCATTCATACAGTCCAGCAACAGTTGTCATGACGTCCTTGAGGGACGGGCGCACGCGGCGCACTTATAAGACGGCACCGGTCTCCACCGCATTTTACTCGCGTCTGCCTGGATTTTACGCACGCATGAAGAAGCCCAGCGTCGGTCGGCGACTTCAGCGGAGACTATACGAAGCTCTGGGACATTCGTATTCTTGTATTCTCTTTCAGAACCCGAGCATTACCAAAAGCGCCACCAAAATGACGGGCTCCGAGATCTCCCACGTCCTGAAGGAAGGCGAGCTGGAGAAGAGGAGCGACAACCTCCTCCAGCTCTGGAAGAGGAAGACCTGCGTCCTCACCACGGACAGCCTGAACATCTACGCGGACAACCAGAAGAAGAACAAGAGCAAAGAGCTCAAGCTGCAGTCCATCAAGAAGGTGGACTGTGTGGAGCGCACTGGGAAGTTCGTGTACTTCAC